CTCTCTCTCTCTCTCTTTTCTTCTTTCTCTCTCTCCCTTCTCTTTTTTTTACCTCCAATCCGCTCTATTCATTCTCTCGCTTCTTTCTCTCACTCCTCTTCCTCTCTATCTCCTCCGATCCTCTCTCTTCTTTCTCTTTCATCCAATTATCTCTTACTTTCTTTCCTCCTCTCTCATCTTTCTCCCTCTACCCCTCTTTTTGGATCTCTTTGTTCAATTTGAGTTGTAAGATTTAAATTTTTTAAATCGCATAAGAAATGTTTTAAGTTTTTGAGTTTTAAAGAAAATTGTTTTCAAGAAAAGTTCTTAAGAAATGTTTTAAGAAATGATAAAAAAATTCAAATAGGATACCAAATAAGCCCTACCCAACTCTTGTCCAATGTACCTTTTACACAACATTTTTCCACACAAAATCTATGCACTTTTTTTTTTTTTTGTAAATTAAAGAAGCTACTTTACTACCAGTAAAAGAACACGTTACACTCTTGTTTCTTGGTTTTATATGCCACAAAAAATTAACGGGCCATTTGATAACTATTTTATTTTTAGTTTTAGTTTTAATTTTTGTGTTAAGAGACAAAAGTACACACCTGGGAGAAAATAAGAAAATAGAAGAGTGCAAGAAGGATTGTGGGAGAGGTATAAAACAAATGTATTAGTACAAATAATGATAACTATAAATAGTTTACGTTATTTCACTTTCAAGCTTTTGTCTTCGTTCATTCTTCTTTGTTGTTTCCCTTCCTCCCTCGAACCACCTTTTTTCATCCCTCATTTCCTTCACATATGCTTTCTTCATATCTAAAGCACAATTGTAAAAAATGAAAATAAAAATAATTATCAAACAAGCTCTAAAGTTTAAACTTTGGTGTAGATCATACAAGACCTAGTAAAACGCTAATCAATAAACCATGATACATTTTACAAATGGTGTATTGTCCCGATGAATTCCTCTTCCTCCCACTGTGTTTCAGGTTTCAAATCCTCACCACTCCCCTTAATCGAGTTTAGAGTACTAATATCGTTGGTCATGAGAAACCTTGATCCATTCTATAGTTTTCAACAGAACCACCATTATAAACAATAACATGATGAAACTAAGTGTCCGATCACTCCACTGCCTCTGCGTTCACCATATCTTCATCAACATAATCATCTTCTGCAAGCCACTGTTCAAGCTCGTCCATCTCATCAAAGTCGTGCATGTAAACATCATCGGCAGTATCCCCTTGCTCAACTCCCAGCTTCTCACCATGGCACGATACATGCAAGAACGGTCCACTTGGAGCCAAAGCATCTACCATGTCTCTATTTACACTACCCGTAACTCCCAACCATCTGATTCTCAGCCTTGGAAAATATGGTTTCTTCAACCACCGAAACGAAAGCGGGGTAATCCCACAATTAAACAGATCCAACAACCTTAAGCAGTTACCATGCCACCTCTCCTCGTCAACTTGCATAGATGCTAATGCCATTACTGAAGTGTCACCTATGAGTGGGCATTGCCGCATGCGCAGTTCAAGTAGCGGAATCCTACTCTTTGCCAGTAATAAAACTGCATTATCGGAGAGATTAGGAAGATTGGACAAGTCTAATTTTTGCAACTCCAACTTGGAAGAGCCATCAAATAGAGCAGTGATACATTTATCCGTAAGTTTCTTGCATCCTCTAACAGACAATGAAATTAGTGAACTTATAACCACTGGTCTCAAATACGATAATCCCAAATCACTACTATCAGAGCCATCTAGCAACAATGTCTTTTACTTTTGGAAGAGTGCTTATGGCATGGTGGGATTCATCCCCGAGTTTTCTGCAATCTCTCAAATCCAAAACTTCCAGATCCTTGTTAGACGCCAAACTAGTCACTGCATGGTTGGTTAAAAGAGGGCACCGTCTCAAGCTAACATGTGTTAAAGAAAGGGAAGTTGCAGAAATGTCATGAAAATCCAAATAGATTAACTGAACCCTAAGCTTATATAACTTGGAGCAAGCATGCAGGATCGTTTTGAAACCTGTCTGTAACACGACAGAAGCCACTTAGAAATATGCTTTCCATGTTTTTGCACTTGTCAGCCAATAAGAGGAGCCAATATCATTTACTCTTCTAAAATAGGTAATGACATGCTCCTGGCTCCTAACCAATGAGATTCTTCAACTTCCCATGCTGATTAATCTGTTGAACACCAGAAAAGAATTATAGGTTACTATGCCTATCATCATTTTTTTTCCTTCCTAAATTATAGGTTACTATGCCGGTGTACTTTCTTTGTGCACGAGAGTTCGATACTCATTTTATAGTGTACATTAGTTTAATAGAATTTTTTGTTGGCCACTTAATACTAGAGTTTAGTTGTATTCTTCTTTATTTGTAAGTGAGAGGCCTTAGGTTCGGTTCTCACCAAAGCTGAATTTGAACCACATTATTGCAAACTCATTGTGAGGCTTATCTCACTCTCACACCCCTTAGTGTAGATAATATCATTTATTCACCACTAGTACTACGTTCTAGTGATATTCTGCTTCACTTGTAAGTGAGAAGTCTTAGGTATGATTCTCGCCAAAGGCGAATTTGAACCACATTATTGCTAGCCTATTATAAGACTAAACCTACCCCTTTCTCTCTTAGTGTAAATAATATCGTTTGTTAAGGAAAAAAAAAAAGAATTTCGTTAGTATCATAAATTAATACTTTGGAGGCTTAACCCAATTCTAGCCCCAACCGTGGTACTCCCATTTCGAACTAATTTAATCTTACTTAGGGGTAGATTGAGTTGTAAATTGGGTTGACTTTGGCACCCGGGTCCATTTCACAATATATATTAAACCTTAAAAGGCCCGTTTGGATTGCTAATAAGCATTTTTAACTACTAGTGTTTCTATTGTAAATCCATTGAAAAGCCCTTCCCCAAAAAAGCACTTCTACCTAAAAGCACTTCTTAAGTTTTCTGCCAAAGAGCTTTTAGTTGTTGATTGTTTGAGACGTAGTCCCAAATAGATACTAAATCGCAATACATACAAGTGAAAATCTAAATCATATTACATACAATTATAAATATATTCTAAAAAGCACTTCTACCTAAAAATCACTTCTAAATTTTCCTACCAAAAGAGCTTTAAGTTAACAGTTTCTGCCAAAAGAGCTTTTAGTTAAATGTTCCCAAATAAATTCTAAATCGTATTAAGTACGAGTGAAAATCTAAATCATATTAAGTACGAGTGAAAATCTAAATCGTACTACCTACGAGTGAAAAGTAAACGGAGTCACATTAATAAGATATTGTCATTGTTTGGCCACTTTTGCATCGAAAGAAACTCACGACAACATTGTCGTGGTTAAACATCACAACAACATGTTCATCCAACCCATTACCATTACATTCGGAACTGCTGCTACGAAATGAAAACGCAAAATAAATAAATAAAAAAGGCAGAATGGCTCTAACAAGTTAATGGTTGGACGTAATACTGTACATGGTATGTGAAATGGTTGGAGAATTCCCCGCACTGCACTAATTCCTTTTGATAAGTAATAAACATCTGCTTGCGTGGTTAGTGCTTCAAGTGATCAGCGTTCCATGAATGGCCAAGGGTCTTGCCATCAGAGCTTCTAAGCTTGTAGGAGCCAGGGCGACTGATGCCAACAACTTCAAACAGTCTATCCCAGTTTGGACTAAGTGTTCCTTCGCTCGGGACTTCGTCGCAGAGTAATATTTTCTTCAATACCTAGTCCCCCACTTTGAAATAACGAGGTTTGACCCTTGAGTCATAGTAGTTGGAGATGCGCTGTTTATAGGCGACATTCCTCAAGTGAGCCTGGTTTCTGTGTTCCTCGACTAGATCTAAGTTGAGGGTAAGTTGTTTGTCATTTTCTCTTTGCACGTAGTTCTGGACTCGGAACTTTGCTTGCTCAAGCTCAACTGGGATAACTGCCTCTGTACCAAAGGCAAGTGAGAATGGGGTTTCTCTTGTTGATGTCCGATACGAAGTGCGGTATGACCAAAGAACTTGAGGTACAAATTCTAGCCAACAACCTTTAACCTTGTCCAAGCTGGTTTTCAAAGTTCGCTTAATTATTTTGTTGATGGCTTCAAATTGTCTATTAGACTGGGGATGAGCTTGGGAGGCAAAACATAAGTTGATGTTGAACTTAGAGCAGAACATCCTAAACTTATTATTGCCGAACTGTCGCCCATTGTCAGTGATTATCGCATTGGGAATGCTGAATCTACAAAGGATGTTCTTCCATACGAAGTCTTCTATTTTTACCTCAGTAATGGTTGCCAAGGGTTCTACTTCAGCCCACTTTGTGAAATAGTCAACTGCAACGATTGCATAACGGACCTTACCCTTCCCTGCAGGCATTAGGCCGATCAAATCAAGTCCCCATTGGGCGAAGGGCCAAAGGCTAATATATGAGTGAGCTGCTCGGGATGGAAGTGAGGAATAGTTACGTAGCGTTAACACTTATCAC